ACCAAATAAATAAATAAATAAATTGTAAGAAGACGAGACAGGGTAGATTATTACTGTAATTTAGTAAATTACTACGGTGGCACTGAATGCTGTAGCTAATTTTAGCATAACTGAAGACATGCTGTTTTCTGATGGTTAACAAAACTTATAGACAGTTGGCTACAACACTAAGTGATCARTCWCTGAAAATAAGTTTTATAAGGCCTGACGAACAAGCTAACTTTTTAAAAACTTACCACCTGCAGTRGATATAATCATGGCTCTAGTGTGTTAGCGGTTCAGGTGATTGTTTTTGCTGCTGCTGTTCTACCGTGGAATAACCGGGTCTGCATTTTACGTTCTTTGAATTATTTTCAGTAAAATGTTGACAACTTTCAAAAGTTAAAGTTTAGGTTTTTTTTGCATCTTCGATATGATTGTCTTTGCGTTCCGCCGTTATTATTACTTTTAAATGTGGCTTTGGCTGCCCGATCCGTACCAGAAGCACGATCCGTACTGTCCTGGAAGCATTGTTTTTAGCTTGTAGCATTTCGCTAGACTGATGACAGAATTCATTCAATTTCAGTCTTTCATCACCTGCAATGTTTCATAGAAAAGGAAACGTTTTCAACAGCTGTGGGTTTTTATTCCAGGAAAAAAATAAAACGAAGATGAATTATTACATAATTGTCTAGATAATAGTTTGCAAGTTATTATAAATAAATATGTATGCATCGTAAATCTATATTTTATTAATCAAAATGTGTACAATATTAAAACTATTTTCAGAATGTAATTAAACACACCTTTTATAATTAAGTATAGAAATAAATATTTTCAGTATTTTTTCCTAAATCGAGAACATTCCAGAAGTCTATCATTTAGCGCATGCGCAAATGAGCTGTCGGTACGGATCGTGCTACTGGGACGGATCGGGCAGCCACAGTGTCCGCTGCGGTTTCTCCTGTGGTTTGCAAACCAGCACGTTCTTCTTCATTAGTGAACAATGCAACCACAGACAATAGAAGCACCTCTGCACTCAGCAGTTCATGTATTGCATTGCAGTTATAAATGAACATTTACGGGATTAAATAATACAATGCATTGACATCTTATTCGGTTATATTGACTAATTGTTGCAGCCCTACACACCTGCAACTGATTAACTTTTGGACTTAACTAAATCAAGATGGCTGACACAGCTAATCAACAGTAGCCTGCACATACTATAACTCAGTGATTTTTAGTAGCTGAYAGTCATTCACAACATATTCTAAGCACCAACAGATCAAACAAGATATTGCAATATTGCGTAAGATGGTGCAAAACATTATTTTCAAGGTTTAAACAAAATCAGATCTCAACATAAGATGATGTAAAAACTCTGGTGTAAAAGGCAGTGGGCGATATGCATTCTTTCAAGGCATGCTATCCATGAATTCCTTATGACRTGTGAGTGAAGAAAACAAAGCAATCTGTGCTACAAGCTAGAGTCTGGCCATTTGGGAGCAGAGCTTTAAGACAGCTGCCCTGACTAACGAATAGATAAATGTTTCCTTTTCAAAGATGCAGTGCTGGCAGAAGCAGTCTCAGGAATGGTAATTGTAATAYGGCCCTTGAGGCTTTCCATGTAGATTTATGGGATGAATGGAGTCTTTTTATGATTTAAGCRACTGGCAGGGCGACAGAACAGTCAGTGTTTATGGCAGCAATTTGTGAGCAACAATGAGTGAGAGGCTGTTGGCAGAAAAGGCCGTCACTATTTTTGGATATCGTGTCTCTATTGGGTGTTTGGGAAAACACTTATTTTATGCCGCGCTGCCTCTATGTGGTGATGAGCCTATATGAGAAACAATTCACCTGCWACAGTTCAGTAATGACAAAAATATTCATATACAGTATTTATTGCCTATTCCAAAAGGTGAAAACTGACCATGGATCATGTTTCTGTCTGTCAGCACTTTTAGCACTGTTAGCACTTATGAACCACTGGAATGAACACCTGCAACTGATTAACTTTTTGGAGTCAACAGGATTCAAGATGGCTGCCACAGTGAACTTATCCTTTCAAAACACCAAATGGCTATAGATTTGTCAGATTTTCTGACTTTGACCTGAATTTTTGTGTGGTAGTAGCTGAGACTCATCCCCAACATATTCTGATAGCTAACAAGTTGAAAAAGATCTGTTTTTAACATTTTTGGCAAAAACTACTTGAAGTCAGTTCTATTCCAGGAAATAATAATTAAAAGTAAACTTACAAGTGATTCAACTTTGGAGCTAACTCAATACAAGATGGCACGCGACCTTAGAAAACACAAAATAGGCCATAATTTAATCATTTGTACAGATACTTTGCTAACATTTGTTGTGGTTGTAGCTCAGAGTAGTGATGTGCGGATCACTACTAAAATATGGATACTACTGATACCAGAACTTTATGTCCTAGACCAGCGGTCCCTGACCTTTTTTGTGCCACGGACCGGTTTATTGTCACATATTTTCACGGACCGGCAGGTATGACTGATGAATACAACAAAATAAAATGATAGCCTACGACCAACGCAAGAACTAATATTTTGTAAATATAATAATAAACGTCAGTCCACTCACTTTGTACTTGTATGTAACCTTTTATTAGCAGTGTCTTCCTGACATGTGCCAACGACTTCCCCTTTCCCTTTGTAAAGAAACTTTCCAAAGACGTCTGTTTTCACCGAGACAAGCGCCTTGACGCGTCAAGAGTGTCATAGATGGACGTAACATAGAGCAGGAGTTCTTAACCTTTTTGACCTCGGGGCCCAATTTGTTGAACATAAAGTGACACGAGGCCCAGTCAGACATTACCAATGTATGAATCAAAATGATAATTATTCTAAATCTTGTTTAATTTTTATTGTATTTACATCATAACTAAACTATCATAACTAATGTAAATTAAATACACTTAAAGTTTAAAAGTAAAACTCCTATCAAATAATCAGAAGACATGATTATGACAAACATTTTTATATTGTAACCTGCCCATAGCAATTATTTGAACACATAAAAAGGTCAGTCAACAGACCACTCAGGCTTATCAGCACAAATATATATAACAAAAATAGATAATTCAAAAAATAAAATTGTGGGCATAAAATAGATAAATTAAAAAGTTTAATGTAAATGTTTCAAATAAAATCCTATAAAAATAAATTTGATAAAGTACAAATGAAAATATAGCATTTTTAAACTTTTGCAACCAGAAGCTGCTCTTCATATTAGTGACCAACAATAACAGTAAAAACAGCTTTTTGACAAGTTTAAAATTTCTTTAAAATACATTCAAAATGTTTAAAAATAAAATTGCAAAAATTAATTTGATAAAAAAATATAGTTCTGCAACTGTATTTGATAAAGTTTTGAACTTTTAAAATATTGCATGGTAAAAACAGAAGCTGCAATTCATTTTAGTGACAAACCAGTGTTTTTTGACGAGTTACTTTCATTTTTGCTTCTTCTTTTCATTTAAAATACATTTCCATTCTCGGCAGGTTTTTAAGGTTCTTCTACATATTAAAAAAGTTGTTAAACAACTGAGTGGCGCACTACTGCTACTAGTGGTGAGAAAGTGTATTGCACCTCATTCAAAATCAATGCGGTCCCACGGCCCTCTGTGGCCCAACGTTAAGAACTGTTGTTCTTTTGAGGCCCTCAAGGTGGCGYTGGCTGAGGCCCATGGGTTAGGAATCTCTGACATAGAGAATCTGATAGGTTTTCAAAATAAAACATTGTTCAGACTCAAATAATAAATACGACGAAAATAATGTGTTATTTATTCTTTCTGTGCGGCCCGGTACCAAACGACCCACGGACCAGTACTGGGCCACGGCCTCGGGGTTGGGGACTGCTGCTCCACTGCAACCACTTCAGGTTTTATCGTTAACAGGAACACAGTGGAAAGTAACACAACCATTGAAATCTTGTCTAAATTATACACGCTTGGAACTAAACTTACCCTGAAAAGAGCCAGTTGAGGTGGTTCGGACATCTGGTAAGGATGCCTCCTGGACGCCTCCTTAGGGAGGTGCTTCAGGCATGTCCAACCGGGAGGAGATCCTGTGGGAAAACTCAGAATGTCTCTCAGCTGGCTCGGGAACACCTTGGAGTCCTCCTGGAAGACCTGCAAGAGGTGGCTGGGGAAAGAGAGGTCCAGGCCTCCATGCTCAAGTTGCTTCCCMTGCAACATGACTGGGAATAAGCAGAAGATGATGGACGGATGWATGGATGGACTTAAGCAGTAAATGCTGGAGTCATTTCTGTTCATTATCAAAATATCTCATGAACCACTAGAAAGATGTTAATGAACATCTCGAAGTAATCACTGGATATACATCTGCAACTGATTAACTCTGGAGTCAGTTCAATTCTAGATGGGCACCACAGCTAATCCATTTCAGCCAACACAAAAATGTCTACAGCTCATTCAGTTTTACAGACATTGAGCTAACATTTGATGTGGTAGAAGCTTAGATTCCTCCTCACATGTACTCTGAGCATGACATCTAATGAGGTTGTGTGTAATGTTATTTTTAAGGTTTGAGCAGGTTCAAACAATGCAATCTCTTTATTTTGGACTGAAACTTTAAAACAGAGCCATGAGGCAGATAAGGGTTACATGTGATTTTATTTTTTCTGCTGTCAACCCACCCTGCTTCTTATTCTGGTTCTCTGACTTCTTCAGCCCCCCCGTCCCCCCACCAGTAGTTTTTGAGCTTTGATTTAAAAACCGAATGGATGAAGCTAATCTCTCTGTGTCTCTCTCCATTTATTATTAATAACTTATCTGGTCTCATATTTTCCGTCTCTTTGCAAATTAATTGGTTGCTATTTTTGTTTTAAGTTCTAATTTGAGAATAATAGCTTCAGAATGTCKTATGTGCTAATTATGACCTGACTTTAATCAAGCTTAGTTTCAGAGTGCTCTGTACTTGAGTCACAGATCTTTTCTGATGGTTTTTCTTTGTATAATTTTCTTTCAGGTTTCAGTTTTAGTCACCTGAGCAGCGATGCTGTGGTTCCCCCCGTGTGTCCTGTGAACAACAGATATATCTACTGCTGATTTGATTTAAAAAAAAAATGCAACTCCGTCCACACCTCAAGAACACATATGGCTGCAAGGTCAGCAAGAAGGAAACATTTAAGGTTTTATATATTTGGTTGATGATTCTGGGCTACAGTTAACCCACAGATTGTCTTCATTAGGTAACAGCGTGGCTGAGAGAGTTGTGAAGTCCCCAGATTTACATCACATGGAGGTCAAAGGTCATCTGATCACATCCATGGGTTTGGGGACTCCTGGTGAGTAACCGTGAGTTCTCACAAATACAGCAACCTCGTGTCTGAACAAGACGAAAACAACTCTTAATCTGGAAGTTTTTCTCAAGAGAACAGCCAGTTGTTGTTCCCATACTGTCACCACAGCTGCCAGATACTCTTATCAGAAAATGATAGAACTGAGAATAAGCACCTTTATGAAAACCAGCATACACAACCAAAAGACCAGGTGTAATCTGAAGTAGACCCATCACACTACAGTTTAGATTGAGAGTAATCCACAGGCACATTTGAACACATTTTCCTTAAATCTAATTCCAGTGAAGTTGTGTAAAACAATTAAAAGCAGAATATAGTGATTTTCAAATCCTTCAACCTATATTCAATTGAAAACACTACAAAGACAAGATATTTAATGTTCAAATGGACAAAGTTTTTTTTTCAACACATTCCGAAAAAAACTGCAACAGGGTCATATTTACCACTGTGTTACATCAGCTTTCCTTTTAACAACACTCAATAAGGATGTGACATCCATGATCTCCGTAAATAATCTGAAATGTGGACTCATCAGACCACATGACACTTTTCCACTTTGCATCAGTCCATCTCAGATGAGCTTGGGTCCAGAGAAGCCAGAGGTGTTTCTGGGTGTTGTTGATATCTGGTTTAGTCTTTGCATGATAGCGTTTTAACTTGATGGTTTTCTGAAGTCTTCCTGAGTCCATGTGTTAATACCTGTTCCAGAATGATGTTGGTTTTTAATGCAGGGCTGCCTGAGGGGTCAACGGTCACGGGCATTCAATGTTGGTTTTCAGCCTTGCTGCTTACTTGCAGTACGACGGAGTATTAGGGCCACACAACAAGATTTTTTTATAAGTACGACAATAAAGTCATAATATTGTGAGATATTGTGAAATTAGCTACGTGACGACTAAATCTGTCAATGCATCCATTAATTAATACAGACCCAGTTTATCATATAGTTACAATTTCCAAGTCCTGCTACTGATAATTTGATGCTAATGTGCTAAAAGATTAACTATTCATTTTAAACAATACTAAAGAACAAATTGACAAGTTGCTCAACATTCCTCATTTTAAAGCAGTGGTAACTGCATGCTTTTTCTTGTAAAGGGTATAGACTAGTATTACGACTTGAATTTTAGAATATTATGACTTTATTCTCATAATATTATGACTTTATTTCCATAGGACTTTAATGTCGTAATATTATGACTTTACTCTTGTAATTAAAAAATTTTTTAAATCTCATTGTGTGGCCCTAACACTCCATCGTACTTGCAGAGATTTGTCCAGATTCTCTGAATCTTTTGATGATGTTATGGACTGTAAATGATGAAATCCCTAAATTCATTGCAATTGTATGTTGAGAAACTTTRTTCTTAAACTGTTGGACTATTTGCTCTTACGTGAGCAACAAAATGAAGTAAAATGTCACACACTGATCCCATCCTTGCTTGTGAACGAGTGAGCCTTTCGGGGATGCAGGCATCAAATTTAAAATGAGTGAATATGTGCAAAAAAATTGTAAAGTTTATACATTTGAACATGAAATATCTTGTCTTTGTTGTGTATTCAATTGAATATACAGTAGGTTGAAAAGGATTTTCAAATCACCGCATTTTGTTTGTATTTATGTTTCACACAACGTCCCAAGTTCATTGGAATTGAGGTTGTACACAGCTCATGATGTTTTACATGTGTTGTGGTGTACAGATGTTCAAGGCTGCCAGAACAGCAAGCTGCAGGCTGAGAGGATCGCAGCTCTGCAAGACAGAAAGCAGGCCCTGGAGGCTCTCCTCAACGCAAGAGTGGGGGAGCTCAAACAAGTCTGTTTACAGGAAGCAGTGAGTCGCTTTCCCCCTTTTCWTCCACACGTCTTTGAAACAAAGCGCACAAAAAATAAATAATAGATGTGGCCCATTTTTTAATTTTAGGGTTCAATTTAGCTATAAGACAACCTCGGTGCGTATGCCACAAAGCAACTTGTTGAAAAAAACTGTTTTCATCACTTACAAGGGGCTGCAAATGAATCTTGGCTCAATTGCTCCTGAGAGCCTGTCAGCACATGTTAATGAGGCTGAAGCTGCATCAGCTTTTTTTAACAGCTGTTTAACACATCCTTTAAATTTTCAGATGGATGTATAGTGACTCATTCCATCTCTGCATATCTATTTTTGGAATTAAACATTGTTCTGCCAGCCGTGTAGCTCAGCTAAGAAGATTGAACTGCGRCTCATCTGCAGACTTATCTCTGTTTAGTGGTAAAATAGTCTGATGCCATTACTTCATGCATGTTGTCTTGCATCATGATTTTAGTGCAGTTCATTTATAAGGAAGAATCATACTGAGATTTATATTAAACTCTTGAGTGGTATCATTTTACGTAAGACAATGGACCTCGCAGACTTTATTGAGTCTCCTCTGCAGGAGCTGACGGGGAAGTTGCCACGAGTGTTCCCTCTGGAGCTGGGAGAGAAACCCCCAGTGGTGCAGCGCAGGTCTGGCTTAGCGCCGAGCACCAAGGCAGAGGTAAGAGAACACCTTGAATATCAATCGTGTTTACCCATCAGCTGTCTGGGTGTGTGCTCGTGGCCTAACTTGGCTTGTTGTGTCCTGGCAGCAGGATGACTCTGTCCAGAGAAAGCAGATGAAAGCAATCTTCACGGGCGCTCTGTGCAGGAACTCTGAATTCGACCGAAATGGCCCGAATAGCAAAAGGACAGTCCATCGGGGATGTCATACAGGTAACACGCTCTGCAGCTAAAACCACATCCACACTGCTGCTAAGACTGCCATTCATCTTTCACCTGTAATTATAACAGAATCTGTTGATCTCTGTCAAAGCTTTATTCATTGCATTTAAAAACAAACAAAAAATTATACACAAAAAAAAAAATACAAATCCCAATTGAAATGAAAGGAGGCAAAAAAATAAAAAAAATCTTAACATCTGCCACTTATTTCCAAATTTAATTTCAAGCAATAATAATCAAGAAACAAAACTAAATAAAAGCTTCAATTCCTTCTCAAACAAAAACTTTTGACATACATTATAC